CACCCCACAGGGCCTGGCTGCTTCTGAGACTCCTGTAGCCTACCCTGTAGCCAAGCCCTGGGGACACTCTTAGGCTGGCCCTAGAAAACATTTAACCTTCTCTATTGGATGAGGAACACTACAGGTAAGTCACTTGCGGTTTGGAGGGAGCCGAGGAAAAGGCTGGGTTATAGCAAGCAGATCGGCTCCATCCAGCAGTCTGGGGCCTGAGGGCCTGGGCTGCCAAAGGGCTTCTAAGTCAGAGGGCCTGCAGAGCATGGGCTTGGTGCCACTTCTACTGAAGCTGCTTTCTGGGTCTCAGGCATCCTGTCCCCGACCGGGGTCTGTGGGAGGTCCTTCGACCTGTGTCAGTATGTCCACTTGGGTGACACCCTCGGAGGAAATGCCTCAGGGTTCAGCCTTCACAGCCCAGAGTCAGCACCAGCCCTTCCTGAGTCCTTGGAAATCTTTTCCCATGAGGCAGAGAAATGCAGAGGATAAAGGATCCTGCGGTCAAAACCATGTGGGGTGATGTGGGGCCCGTCTCTCTGTTGGGGGTCACGGATGCCCACACGCTAAATATCCATTGCTGGGAACCCTACTCAGCTTCCCAAGGAGGCGGTTGAGAGCTGTCACTCAGTTGTGGCAAACCGAGTAATTTCCTAGGGAGATGTCTGGCTCAGTGGCTCAGTTAACCCTTTGGGTCATCCCAAAGTCACCGGTTAGAGCCCTTGGAGCTTCCTGTTCTCAGGGCAGAGCCCATAGCAATGCCTGGATTCTTGACTTTGGCATAATCTTGCAGTTCTGCCTGGGCTGGTATCTGGGTCCATTGGCCATCAGCAACTCAGATGCCCTTGGGGGCGTCAAGGGTACAGTAGTGATTCTGGCCTCTGGCCTCAGATGCCCTCTGACTTCAGTCTCAACCTCTTCTGCAGCCCACCTCTTCCTCTACTCTATGGGATGGCAGGGATATACGTCTGCTTGCCTGTGTGCGCTGTGTGCACACCCCTGTGCGTGGCATATGTTTGGAAGGTAGTTTCAGTGAAACTGAATATTTGAGGCACAAGTAGATCCCTGGAGATGGTTGAGATGTAAAGCTTAACACTAGGAACGTACTTGTCAGTTGCTTGGAATGCAAATGTAACCACACAGCCTGCATTTCTTCCAGCCACCCTGCTGTCCCCAGGACACCTGCTCTCCCCCCCCATCCCATCTCATCCCACCCCAGGTCAGGTCCCCTTTGCTTCTGGAGACTCTAGGATTGACCTGGGACCTGTTCAGAAATTGTATGGTCAGTTCAGGGAAGGGATGAGGTCTTTTAAAATAAGGTGGCCACATGCTTGCACATTTCCGTTCCAGATATGTACGTGGTTAGTCTTATGACATGGAAGCAGGCTTTGATCCTGTTAGGATACAGTCCCTGTCTTGGGGTCTAACTGCACAGTATTCTGTGAGCATGGCGCCCCCTGGAGCCCATCTCAGAAACATGCAACTCGAAGTACTGTTTTGGCTTCCTCTAAGCCCTAGACTAAGCAGCCTTTGTGAGTTAGTCAGATAGCACTCTGTCAGTCTCTGGGGCACCCAGGGACACTGCAGGACCCAACAACAGCACACAAGCACGAAGACGAGGTTACCTTCCGGGTGGAGGACTCAGGGCAGAGTGACAGGCTGGGAGATGAGAGAAGCTGAGGACTGTAGACGAGGAAGGCGACGCTCCCAGTCACGGAAGGCAAGCTACGAGGCACCCCCTCCCCCAGTACTAAGCCTAGCCACACTCCAGGAAGCCAGAAACTACCCTAGGATTAGTTACAGCTTGAGGCCTGGGAGCACGGGGCTGTGTAAACAATGTGGAAGTATTTAGAACACATTAAAGCGAGGCTGACCGTTTACTGGGGAGGAGGATGGAGGAGGCACGGTGACATGAGGGACTGCGGCCTTGGGACTTTAAATTATGAGCAAGTGTCTGTGCTCAAGTTGGGACAGTTCAGAGTTGATGGCCAGCTACTCTAGGCTCTGCCTTCTAGGAAAACAGGTGGACTGAACTGGCACTGGATATCTGTGAGGCTCAGGGACTACCCAACAGCCATGTGTAGTGTCCCAGGATGACAGCAGGGGGCGCCAGATACCTCCGAATCATTCCCAATCCTGGCGTTCCTTGCAACCACTGGCCTCTTCCAAGCTGACAGCCATGGGAGTTAACGGGGTAGGGGACGCTCTGTACAAAAAGACTGCCTTGTACGGCCTAAGCATCTCCTGACCCCAAGCAGAAAGAGACTCCTTTGGTCTTGGATGTCCCTGCAGGAGGTCCTGTCTGGGGCAGGGGACAGGTACTGTCCTCCAGACCCTGAATATCTTCCAGGTAACAGGGCAGTCACTGGGCAGGTTTCAAACTTGCCCACCCTATACGGTACTGTACCTGGGTCCATCCTTCGGAAGCTTGCGAGGATACAAACCACTCCCCGTCCCCAGCATTGAAGTTTAGAAGGAATCCTAGCTGTTATTAAAGGATGGAGCCACTGTTTTGATATTCCCACCAAATGTAGATACACAAGGCCCCTGAAAGGCATTTTGCTGTTGTTGGCGCTCTCTCTCTCTCTCTCTCTCTCTCTCTCTCTCTCTCTCTCTCTCTCGATATTTTTATTGATCAGCTCATATGTCTTTATTTGTAAATGCTCATTGCAGTGAGTCATTGGTTTGATTCAAAGTCTCTGGCATCTGCTGCACCCTTGATACTGGCTCTCACCGGCACACCTCTTGGACATCCTGCTGTTGCCTTGTGTCGCAGAGATCTGGTGGCTTTGGATGTGCAGCACCTGGTAGAATGTGCCCTGTGCCTCACCCAGGGAATGCAGTAGAACTGACTCTGTGGGTGGGGGTGTGGGGTGTACCAGCTCTGAGGGCATGGGCAGGAGATCTGACCTTGCCCCCTTCATCTGCTATGTGGTGGCATGGGGGAAAAAGCCTCCCCCCTCTGCTCGCTCCGTGCTACCTTTGGCAGGTGGGGAAGCTGGCCCAGGGGCCAGGCAAGAGTGGGAGAGCGCGAGAGCGGGCCCTGCACCTCACTGGGGCAAAGCAGAAGAGCCACCCTGGTGATGTAGGTGTGGATGAGTAGGTCCTGAGGACGTGAGACCAGGAGAACTGGCCCCACTCCTTGCTGCCTGATGCAGAGGGTGAGATAGCTGAGGCAATGACGGAGAGCTTGCCCTGGTGGTGTCGATGAGGGAAAACTGGCAGGCTGGCCAAACCAGCTGCCACCCAGGCCCAGAACCAGGGCAGAACCTGGTGAGTGTTGAGCATGAGAAGGGGCTGGGTTGGCATTTAACATGTTTAAAAATCGAATTAATTATCGTTTATGTGTTTGCATGTGTGTCGTGGATGTGCGTGTGGAGGTCAAAAAACACTTGTGGGAGCAGATTCTCTCCTTCCACCAGGCGGGTTGTGGGGATCAAACTCAGGTCCTCAGGTTTAGTAGCAAGCGCCTCTACCTGTCGAGCCATTGTAGTGGCCCCTCTTGAAGCTATTTTGAGTGGTCTGCAGGATAGCAGGGAGAGAGAAAAAGATGGGTGGGGTGCAGAGGAGGTATGTTCTGGGTGGCCCTCCAGGTGGGACAAGGAGGGTCTCCGTCCAGGCCAGTGAGATAAGGAGTCCTAAAGACTCGGGGAGAGAGAAAGTGTGTGCGGTGGAGATGTGATGTGGAGAAGGATGTATGTCCAGGGAGGTGCGGAGACCTGACAGATTGACTGGCCCTTGCAAGACGGCATAAGTCCCAGAGAGTTGCTCATGGTGGGGCTTATTTATTTAAAGTTTTCTTCTGCAAAGGTAATGAACTGAGGAAAATACCCAGAGAGGGAGGAGAAAGCAGCCAGGCGCCTACTTTCCTCTCCCAGACCCATTACAGATTATTAGCTCTAGGCTTTGCTAAGTTCAGCCTTAATTAGGAGAGCAGTTTTCAAGGAACCACATATTTCCTTCCATGCCATGTTCCAACCACAAATGCCTTTCTGTGTTACTTTCAGATATGGGCTCATCGGTATGTATGGTTGACAGCCACACCCTGGTTGGCCTCTGATGGCCTGACACTCAGGCTCAGGGTGTCTGCTCCTTTGGGTTCTGATGAGACCCCTGTCCCTTTGCCAGAGCCTCTCTGCCTGTGCTGTGAGTCATGGTTGTGCACTGCCCTGATTGCCCCCATGAATTGTATACCTGGAGGTGCCGCATGCATCCTGACACAGCTGCCCTGAAAGCAGCCTCACCTCGTGTAGCACAGCGGCCGGGGTTCTGGAAGTGAAAACAGATGCTCTCTGCTGCATGACTGAATGCCAATACTACCGAACTATACCCCTCTCTGGGTCTCTGGTTAGATTTAGGCTGCTACTTGGGAAAGTATAAGTCATGAATTGTTTGGATGAGGACTTAAAGGGTAACTACAATGACCCTGGGACCCTTGGGCCACACAAACTCCAGAACAGGGTACCAGAATCCCCTAAGTGTTAAGGAACAATGGAAACCATTACTCTGGAAACAGGCCCTGCATCCAGCATGGTGCTAGGATCCCCAGGGCACAATGGAGACCTTTAATCTGGACATAGGTCCAGCAAGGGGCTGAGACCTCAGGGGTGGAGCCACAGGGCTACACTTACTTGGATAAGTGGACACAGGTTCTAGCAAGGGATAAACACAGTAGACTGTGTGCTAAAGGGTCCCTGTTGGCTGTGATATTCCTTGGATGGGACCGTGCCTTCCCCAGTAGAGACTTGGAGGAAAGCTATGGTCTGGGGAAGGGGTCCAGCATAGCTCCACACTTTCTGTCCCTGACTCTGCCAGGGTCCTGGGTGAGAGAGTGTCTGCAGGCTTACTGAGGAGGCTTTGGGATCACAGGGGGCCCATAGAATAGGACAGGGATCTCAGTAGCTCCTGTATCAGATTTAGGACAGCTCTCCCTCTGGGGAGGAGGGGTATTAGATACAGTCGTGCTGAACTCAGCTTTGAAAACTGCTGGATTTGATCTGTGGTCCGATTCCCCCAGCTGCTCCCCCAGCTCCTCCTGCCAGCCAGCAGGGAAACAGAGACCCACAGTCCTCTGCCTGGGGATGAAATATTCAGTTTGATGGCTCAGGCAGGTGGCGCTTCCTTTCTGGTCTCCAGCCCTCCTATAAAGAGGAGACTGAGCATTGACAGAGGCCCCACAAGGCTGCAGATCGGGAGGAATAGACCAGCACCAAGGTACCCTCTGGGAAGGTTTGGACCACCTTCTCTACAGATTGGGTGAACCTGGTGTGTGTGGTGGGGGTGAGGGGTAGGGAAGTCATCTCTTAAACAATCAAAATGAATAAAATTCCACTGCAGAATGATAATTTAGGAAAACAGAAACAGAAGTAGCTATGACGATGCTAGTGTCCCCAAGGGTAGTCTGCTTTGGTGGCAGGATGGGTTAGTCCTCGGAGGCAGCAGCAGCATTCCTGGCTTCTTCCTGCTGCAGGTGGTCCTGAGTATATTGACTGCATATATCCTTGGTGAGGATGCAAGCCTGCATGCTGTGGTGGCTGGCCATTGTCATCCTGCTGGTGATTCCTGCAGGTGAGGGACCACTCAGGGACCGGATGGAGTCGTAGCTCTCCATGTCTCTCCTTCACCCTGTCCTTGTCTTGGTCTGCATGGGTTAATGGAGGGTTGCCCTAGGTGATGGCTCTCCTTTTCTTTTGCAGGAGCCAAACCGATGCCAGAGGAATCAGGTACTTTTTTTTTTAATGTCTTTCCTTTCTCTGGAATACGTTACTAGTACATGCAAGTGGGTGAGTGGGGGCAGAGGTTGCCATTCCCTGGCAGGCACAGAACAGTGGGAACCCTAGCTCTCCTGGGAGGATGACAATGCTGTTGCCAGTAGGGAGCTGCACATGCTGAGAGATGCAGGACAGCATCAGGTTGGCCTTGTCTTCTGCCACAAGGAAGCATCCAGGCAGAAGGGAGACAGATGAGCCCTCAGGGTCCCACCCTCAGCCTGGGCTTAGACCCTGGACCTCTTCAGGAGTCCCAGCTCAGCCCAATCCCACCAAGGTGGCCTGTCCTCTGCTCTAGAACTCGGGTGCTGTGTTCTTTGAAGCCTCATCTGGCATGCGCCTGAGCCCCTCACCCCTCACCCATCTGCCTCTCTGCCCAGCATCTTCCCAGACAAGCACAAGGCCCCATTTCCTTCCCCACTTCTCTGCCTACCAGACCAAGTACCCTAACGGCCAAAAGCTACACTCAGAATGATTCAGACACCACTCCTGACTGAAAAGGTGTCATCACTGTGGTAGGCCTTGGGGGACATCACCCACTTGCTCTGGCTGTGTAGGGGGTGTTCTGGCAGCGGTGATGGACAGACCCTGAGGATGTTACCTGTGTCTTTCAGACCCCTACACTCAGCCACCAGCCATGCCCTACTGGCCTTTCTCCACCTCTGACTTCTGGAACTACGTGCAATATTTCCAGACCCAGGGTGCATACCCACAGATCGAGGACATGGCCAGGACCTTCTTTGCACACTTCCCTCTGGGGAGCACCCTGGGCTTCCATGTCCCCTACCAGGAAGACTGAGCAGTGTCCCGTCAGCTGCCTGCCTGGCTGCACTGGCTGGAGCCTAAGGTGGTCCAGAGACCCAGTGATGGACAAGGGATGGGAATCGTGCTCAATAAACTCCCTATGAAGACGCATTACACCCCTGTGGGTTTCTTTCAAGGAGCTGATGTGTGCGGTATCACTCTGTGAAGTACCTTTATTCTGACAACTACTGAGCACACCTTTAATAAAAACAAGCATGTTTTCTATGCCTAGGAGTGTCAATCAGGGCTTTCACCCTTAGATATCACCTTGACATTCTGTCCTCATAATGGCCTGGGTGTGGGCTATGGTGGCCCCAGATTGTAGGCAAGGAATATGAAACAAAGACATCAGTTCAGCCTGACTTGTTAAGGCCATGTCTCCAGTTAGGCAAGCGGACAGCATCCCAGGCAGCTCCTTCGTGAACAGCAGTCACGTTGGGGCTGGGCACCTGTGCTTGGGGCACAGCATGTTCCTGGGGGAAGCAGAAATCATGGAGTCATATCCCTGTCTGCCAGGGAGAGTTATATACCACACTTGGTCTTTGAGGGAAAGATTCTAGGCTGAGGCTGCTGGGGGAAGGGAATGGTCACCCTGGGCAGTCCCATGGGTATGGCAGGATGTGCAGACAGTGTGGCATAAGGCAGCAGCAGCCTATTTACTCCAAGACACATACAAGGCGTGCAAGCCAAGAACACACTGGTTAATGCCGCCCCTCTCCCCCGCCACTAGTTGGAAGAAAAATTGAATAGGAGGCTCATCTTGGCTGCCAGCCCGTCTCAGTCTCCTTGGCTTGACCTTCATCTCAGGACAACACTGACCTGGCATCTGAGGCTCTCCAGTCCTTGCTTACTTCTCCTGGATCCTGCACTAAGGCTTGGGGGCGGGGAGAGGGGCGCAATGACTGCCCAGGCCACGATTCCCATTATACCTTAGCTAAGTCGATTTCCCTGGAGCTGCCATTTCCCTTGACCCCGATTCTCACTCTAGCAGCCGAGACCCTGAGCGCTTGACGTCTCAAAGTTGTTAAATGAAAAACATCAACAACAACCCAGTCTCTGAACACTGTCAAATCAGAGTAAGGGAGGCCATCCAAAGCCATGTGACAGGTTTGTACTGCATGGAGAGACTTGGCTCAACATTGGCAAACACGCATTGACAGCCAAGCAGTGGGGTGGAGGTAGATGGGGAAAGACTCAGGAGTAACACAGGGGTTTTGCTGAAGGCAGGGTCAAATGACACTATCCGGGGATAGTGGAGGGTGATGAGAGCTATCAGACATGGAGCATAGGCGGATATCAATTGGTTTCAGGCTTCTTGCAACATTGATTTCACAAGGATATTTATTAAAACGGATCTTACAAGGAGGCACACACAGTCCTAGGGAACATCCAGGAGCCTCACCAGAATAGTCTAGACTGTCAGAGTATCTCTAGGTTTCTTCTCTCCCAATGATCCCCGCCCCCTCCATTCCTTCCTCATCTCTTTTCTTTCATTCATTCTTTAAAAACCATGGTACAATATAATATAGCACCTTAAAATGGACAGTCCAGTGATATAACCGACTCTCCGTGCCTCCTGCAAACACACACCTCTAGAACTCTTTGCAGATCTGAAACTGTCCACTGAACATCCGCCACCCCAAAGCCATTACACTGCGGCATTTCTAGAAGTTTCATTACCCTGAGGAATCTCATGAGTGGGACCACAGCATTTGTTTTATTTCACTTAACAACATCCTCAAGGTTCGTCCATGCCCACGGGTTAGAAATTCCTTCTTAGTTAAGACTCCAAACTATCCCCCGTGTGGTTAACACCTGTTTTGGCTTTGTCTGCGTTCACGCGTCCACGGGTACTGGGCTACTTCCTCCTCTTGACTGAGGTGATCCTGAGCCATTTCCGAGTGAACTGAGGCAGGGATTCTGGGTCACGGCCACTGTGCACAACGTTTGGATTTCTGTTACCCCCATCTTTTCGCTACCCCATTACTGCCTGCAGTTTCTGTACTAGTCATTCTGACGGTTTTGAGCTGCATCCCTGCCGAGAAACGGACAGTCTCCTTTCTTCTCCGATCACTCGTGCCCGTGGGGTGCTGCTGATCCTTAACCGGTAATCTGCTGCCCTAGCCTGCTCGGCGGGAGACAGCTCAGGTGCCCAGAAGCCAGGGCGGCGGGGCACCACCGAGGCGCGGTCCTCCGGCGTCTAGATCAGTTCGGAGGTTCACCGGAAGTGAACGGGGCTGGCCGGAAGTGAGCGCAAGGCCGCCGAGCGGAGATGAAGCCGGCCGTGGATGAGATGTTTCCCGAGGGCGCGGGGCCCTACGTGGACCTGGACGAGGTTGGACTGCGGCAGTACGGAGCGGGGCGTGGGGGCGGGAGCACGGCCAGCAAACACGCGCGGGAGCCCAGGTGCTTTTAGGAGTCAAAAACTGCAGGCAGCTGGGGAAGCGGGAGCTGGTGGTGGCAGTCGCAGGGTCAGTGCTAAGTGATTTGCAGCGAGGAAGTAAGGTTTGATCGCAGACAGTTCTTTCACTGGGGCTCCCCATCAATCTTCCCAGGAGAGAAAGCCCGAGCGAGGTTTATGGACTGACTGGTGGCCAGCCCCAAGCCCTGGGGGAAGGGCAAGGGGCGATGTATGGCATTTGTGTACTTTTCGCTGGGACTTGGTTAATTCGTGTAGATACACAGAGTTTTGGAGCGAGCTTATGCCTTTGGTCTCCACCATGGCCACAGAGCGATTTTATGTGGAAGAGGTGCTCCAGTGAGGTGCTTATGATGAGGAGTGCCTGTCGACTCTTGTATATCAGAGCCTCTTGCTCCCATCAAAAGCTCAGAGAGTAGAGAGATGCTCAGATGCGGCTCCGGTCCTTAGAGAGGTCAGGTATGGCCAGAAGAGGCCGATCGCAAATCCTAAGTGTAATAGCAAGGGTGGGGGTGCTCCTACAGAAGTATCCATGGGATTTCGGTTGGCTCTGCTGAGGCTCAAGAAAGGAACTTCCCCTGAGCCAAATGGTGAAGGATGTGCCCTGTTGTTACATGGACATGGATGGAAAGAGCCATAGGAGCAGAGCTCTGAAAGAGTGGTCCTCCCTGACCCACAAAAGGAAAGGAATGTCACCTAGTCGGGCACGGAGGGGAGGGAACAGGCAGGGCCGCATCGTGAAGCCTGCAGAATGGACTCTGTGATCCATGGCTGAGGCAGTCACGTTCAGCCCCAGCTCCTCTGTACTGCAGCAGGGAGTGTAGGGGCATCATAGTGAGGAGAGACAGGCTGACTTCCTGGGGAGGTTGGTTCTTTGGAGGGGTTGGAGTTTGGGTTTGTAGGGAGACAGTAGAGAAATGGGGACAGGAAGGATTATTTCCGAAAGAGGTTCTGAGTGAGGCAGTGGAGGTCAGGATTTCAGAGGCAGAATCTGGATGGCTTACTGTAGTGATGGAGCTGGGGAGGGAGGCAGAGTCCAGAGAGCAGATTTGAAAGGTGTTCAGCCATTTGAGAACCAGGAGAGGGCTGGGCCAGCAGCCTTGGGGTGTTAGGGCACAGGCAGGAAAGAGCCTGGACCGGCTATCCAGGGTGCTGCCGCCAGAGATCTCTGCTCCCACCTTCCAGGTGACTAAATGGCATAGAGTCTCTGTGAACATCATATCTCACAGATTGGCTGTGGCCTGGCTTTACCGCCATCAGAGGGTCCTCTGAGAGCAGCATCGCGGACCTATGCTGGGGTGGTCAGCTTCCCAGGGGGCGTGGCTGTATTCTCAGAGGGGAGGGACCAGAGTAGTTATCAGGCTTGCTGGTGCACTTCTGTGTCTGGTGGCTGGTCCTGAAGGGGGCTGAAGACTCCAGCAAAAGAGTGCTACACAAGGCAATGTCAAGGAGGACTCAAGGAACACAGGACCTCGAGAGCCCTTTCAAATCATTTGCCTGGCTTCCCCATTCACACTGCTTCCTTTGTCTGGAAAATTCTGGCTCCAGCCTGAGCGTTCTTCCTGTCTCTTGGCTTCTGTTCCAGGGAGGAGGGATGGGTATGGAAATGAACCTACCACCTGCTTTTAGAAAACAAACACACTGGAATGACCTTACCTTTCATTCTCCAGGCTGGAGGGAGCACCGGGCTCTTGATGGACTTGGCAGCCAATGAAAAGGCAGTTCATGCGGACTTTTTTAATGGTGAGTATGCCAGGATTGGGTGCCAGGCTTAATCTGAGTTTCCTCTGCAGTGGGCAGCTTTGTGCCATGGGTAATTTTGATCATAGCACAGTGTAGCCCAGACTTTATGCCCTTTCTCAAGTGTATGGAGTAAGTCACCTGGCTATTAGTTCTGGCTGTCAGCCTTATTTGGGGGAAAAAGCATGAAATACATCCCTTCCCAGCACCCCAGGTTGAGTGTGAGCGCTGGTATAGATAGCATATGCAAATGGACACATTGGTTATGGCTGTACCCAGACATGGGCATAGGGACCTGTGTGACTCTGTCTTCTCTTACTCTGTCCTATGGCTGGTTTATTCCTTGTTCTTTCCTGGTCACACCTGTTTGCCCACCTGGATTCTCTTGTCCTCTGCTGCCTTTGCGTTGTAACAGCTGTGCTCTGCTTGAGCTCGCCCTGTGTCTGAAGTCAGGACGGAGACGGAGGACATACTTCTGTCTCATAGCTCAGAGCTTTCTTGGTTAGAATATTTTACCAAGTAAACAGTGAAAACTGACTGTAAAGTCTCCAGGCATGTGACAGGGCATGCTTAGTACCCTCTTGTTCTTCTGATTTCTGAAGGCCTCATTCCTACTGGTTAACCCTTCCTTAGGGTTCAAATGGCAAGTGAGAATTTAAGGGAAGTGTCCTACTGGGAAGGTAGTAGGTTTTTCTCTCTTTCCATCCAGCTTAACTCTGTGGTGCATGGTTCTCCAAAGAACTAAGGCTAATCAAGCCCTGTGGATTTCTAGCTTACTAGCGGCCCCCTGAAGTCCTGAACCCAGTTAGCTGGGTTTTGGGACTCTTTGGCCTGTGGCTGCTGCTTGAGTGGGAAGTCATCTGTCAGATGGGTGCATTTCTTCCTGGGGACATTACTTCTGCCCAACTGGTGTCAGAAATGGAGCTTGGGGACACACACGTAAC